AGGATGCGGGTGGTAAGGGAGGTATGGAGTTGCTGTGACATGAGCGGAGCGGTTGGGGCTTCCAGCTTCCCCAGGAACTTGAAGGATGAGACAGGCTCAACGACCATCCCATTGATGTGGATGGGATCATATGAGCCTGTTCGTCCCTTCCTGAAGTCCACAATGAGCTCCTTGGTCTTGTTGGTGTTAAGGAGCAGATTATTGTCAGTGCACCAAGTGACCAGATGCTCAATCTCCTCCCTGTAGGCAGTCTCATCATTGTTGCTGATTAGACCAATCACTGTGGAGTCATCTGCAAATTTGATGATGGTGTTGGATCTGTTCACAGGCCTACAGTCGATGGTAAAAAGGGAGTTGAGTAAGGGGCTCAGCACACAGCCCTGCGGTACACTAGTGTTGAGTGCGACGGTGGGGAGCAGATGTGGCCTGATCAAACATTCTGAGGTCTGTTATTCAGAAAGTCCATAACCCAGTTGCATAGTGATGTGTGGATATCCAGGTCTCTAAGTTTGATCATTAACGTGGAGGGTATGACAGTGTTGAATGCTGAGCTGAACTCAACAAACAGCATTCGTGCATAAGTTATTTTATTGTCCTGGTGTGTGAGTACAGAGTGCAGTGCTATGGAGACTGCATCTTCTGTGCTCCTGTAGCCACGGTAGGCAAATTGATGTTGGTTTTGTGTGGATGGCAGAGAGTCTTTTAGATGTGCCAGGACCAACCGCTCAAAGCACTTTATAATGATGGGTGTGGGTGCTACAGGGCGGTAGTCATTCAGGCATGTTGGGCTGGAGTGTTTCGGCACTGGCACAATAGAGGTGGTTTTAAAGCATGTTGGCACAGCTGCTAGGTTAAGCGACAGGTTGAAAATACCCCAGCGAGCTGTTCACCACAAGCTTTGAGAAAGCCTCCAGGAATACCGTCTGGTCCAGCAGCCTTAGGCACTTTGATTCGACTCAATGCGGTGTAGAGGGGGTGAGTGTGATAGGTGAGTGGTCAGTTGAGGAAGTGATCCTGGTTTAGGGTTCTTTATTGTCTCTTTCAAAGCAGGCATAAAAGTCATTTAGCTCAATCAGGAAGGAGACGTTTGTGGCTGTGTGTGGACTGGCTGGGTTTGTAGTTGCTGATAGCCTGGATGCCCTGCCACATGCGCCGGGGATCAAAGTTGGAAAAGTGCTCCTCTAGCTTTAGCTTGTAACAGTGCTTGGCCTTTTTGATGTCCCCCTTCAGATTAGCCCTGGAAGTGCTGTAGGCCTGTGTATCCCCTGATCTGAAGGCAGTGTTGCGTGCCTTCAGTAGGAGGCGTACCTCCTTGTTCATATATGGCTTCTAATTCGGATATGTAGTGATATGTTTTTGGGTTGTAACACTGTCTATGGTGGTGTTGATGTATTCCAGAACAGAGGAAGTGTAACTGTCTTAGCATTACATTTCTTCAGTTAAATGAATGGAGTAGAAGAGATATCGCAACTGCAAATCTCCCTCTCTTTGTCATTGAGTGATCTGCTGTCAATAGTTGTAGATGAGCAAAATATTTGAATGGTGCTGCATGTATTTGTGTCTGCATCTATCTGCATGTATCTGACAGTATTTGACAATATTGCAACTTCACTAAAAGCTGGCTGGAATTATTAGATAAAAAAAACGTTATTTTTTTGACATGATTATCAAATCAAATCACTTTTATCATCACATCATCAGCAGCACGTGTGCTGTGATAAGTGAAAAGCTTAGGTGCTGGCTCCAGACAGTCCAACATACAGACAGTAAAAATTACAATGACATACAACAGCATACTCCTAAAAAAAAAAACAGGACAATGTAAAATTGGCAATGTTGACAGTGATATGTAAAATTAATAGGTGTCCACATAGTTGTAGGCAGTATTGTTTTAAGTATGGGTTGGTTAAAGTGCAGTGCATGCTACATATTGATGGTGTGCAGTGAGGGTGTGAGTGTGGGGTGTGTTAAGTGTTTATCAGCCTGATCGTCTGAGGGAAGAAGCTTTCCTTCCATCAACTGGTGCGTGACCGGATGCTGCGGAACCGTCTGCCTGAGGGTAGCAGTGAGAAAAGTCTATGGCTTGGTTGGCTGGAGTCGTTGATGATTCTCTTGGCTTTTCTCATGTACCGCCTGGTGTAGATGTCCTGGAGGGAGGGAAGCTCATCTCCTACTACGCGTCCAGCGGTTCGAACAATCCTATGTAGGCCTTTGCGATTGCTGCTGGTGCTGTTTCCATACCAGGTGGTGATACAGCCAGACTGGATGCTCTCCACAGTGCAAGTGTAGAACGAGCGGAGGATGCGGGGGCTCATTCCAAACCTCCTGAGACGCCTGAGGAAGAAGAGGCGTTGCTGTGCCTTCCTCAGCACTGCGTCTGTGTGAACAGTCCATGTCAAATCCTCAGCGATATGGACTCTAAGAAACTTGAAAGTACTGACTCTCTCCACTGGCATCTCGTTGATGGTGATTGGGGTGTGTTCTCTCTTCTCTCTCATGAAATCCACCAACCCGCTCCTTGGTTTCGCTGATGTTGAGTGAGAGGTGGTTTTCCTCACACCACTGCGTCAAAGTGTGCACCTCCTCTCTGTAGGCCGTCTCATCATTATCTGTGATTAGGCCCACCATCGTTGTGTCATCAGCAAATTTAACGATGACATTGGAGCTGTGTTTGGCTGTACAGTCATGTGTGTACAGGGAGTACAGCAGTGGGCTGAGAACACAGCCCTGTGGAGCACTAGTGTTGAGGATCAGTGTGGATGAGTTAATGTTGTTCATTCTGACCACCTGGCGTCTGCTTGACAGGAAGTCCAGGATCCAGTTGCACAGAGAGCTGTGTAGACCCAGAGCCTGGAGCTTCACCACCAGCTTGGCAGTGACTATGGTGTTGAATGCTGAGCTGTAGTCCACAAACAGCACAAACTACATTCTCACATACGTGTTTTTGAATATTTTATGATATAAATTCTTGTAACACACTCATTGCTATAAACAGTAGTTTATAGGCCTATTTAAAAAAAAAAAAAACGCTAAATTAAAAACGGCTAAATTTCGCGTCCTAAAATCCATAATCATAACTCCTGTATAGCAGTTCCACAACATTCTGACACTCGATGACACTCTGTCAGTAATGTCTATTGGCTGGGAATGACCTTTTTACAGTGTCTACTATAATGTTAATTTAGTTTTTTGTGTGTTTATGTAAATGAATGTGTTAATGCGCAGTAGTTATGATCTTATTGCCACATTAGATCATTGTGATAACATAATATATGCCTTTAGTGATGTTCTGAAGATAAATAACAAAAAAGCACAACTGAAATAACTACAGCAGTTATGATAGTCTGATCTCATATGAAGCAAGAGATCATGATGACATATGATGACGCTTGCAGGTGCTGTATTGCTGTCCCAATTCTTTGGGGCAAATTTTAAAGTCCTTCCCCTTCGTACTCGGTTTTAAGGGCCAAGGGGAAGGGGTAGGGGTACAAAAATAGAATTGGTATCAGGCCTTAACGTGCGCTTTTATGATTTCAAGAGGCGGGGCTTTTGAGGGCAGGAGGGATTGTGCTTTTTAAAGCTATTATGCTAATGGTTAGCAATCTGGCTGATCACCTACTGCACCTTTAAACAACAACAAAAAGATCTGAAAAATTAGATTCACTTACAGAAGAGTATACTTAGAGAGAAAACAAGGATAAACAGTTTCTTCACAGGTAAGCTAAATCAAAATTTTAATGTTAGATCTTTACTGTCATGCCCCATAAAAAAAAGTAAACTATTCTAAAATATATTTATTTAGAGTAATCTTAAGAATATGTATCTCACAATATTTTATTTATTTTTGTAATTCCCCTAGATGACAACAGAAGTACAGAATTACATACCTTACCTTAAAGAGCTCTAAAGTAATCAATAGCGTAAGTGAGTGAAGCAAACCTTCACCTATACTCTAAATTGGTTCTCTGCTTTTAACCCCTCAAAGTAAATAATGATAGAATTACTCATTTAAAACTTAATCTTTATAAGAAATGCAATTATACTATTTAAGTCAACAACAATAAAAGAAAGGGTCTTTCTTTCTTTCATTTTTTAATTTTCTGATTTATTCATGATGACATTTACTGATCTGAGAGTAGCACAATAACCAATAGCAAACCACAGCCATATAATGAAACTATAATGGACAAAACCAAATTCCAAAAAGGAGTTTCACATCAATAAATGCCACAACAGAAAAATTCATTCTTGCTGACCTTAAATATTTAGTCTTAAATCTCACCCTAAATCTTTAACAAATTTAAATATCTATTATTCACACATGCATTATTCACATTTTGTGAAACTTCAGGGGCAGCAAAATTAAAAATTAGTGTTGTATTTACATTTTATTTATACAAAAATACATAACATCATTATATCAGCATTATACCAATAATAATTATATTTAAATGTCACCAAGTCCACTGAATATTTTAGATGTTAGCTTTCACTGGAGAACAGTTCAAAGGAAGCTTGTCCAATCAGTCTGAAAGCCCCTGGTGTTTCCTGCTCAAGACATTAAGATTTGTACTTGATCAAATCATCACAGTAAAATCACAGAGCCAGACACCCTACCACCAACCCACCGTCATCCGCTTTCCCTTATTCCCCTAAGGCTTTATTCAGGACAAATACCACCAGACTATAGTCCTCAAATGCCACCCTTCCAGTCAATGCCAGTGTCTTGGATAAATTAAACCATGTAACTGAACCACGAAAATGTATTTCATTCGCAACATACCTGAATGTCAGCAGTATCAGACACATTCAAAGGTCCACATACAGTAATTAGTGTATGTTAATGTGCAGTATATTATTGTGAAAGCCTCTTAAAATGAAGCCTGTGAATCCAGTCAAATAATGTCCACACGTGAGCAGGGAATGAATGAACTATGAAAAGCGTTTACACAGAGGTTAGGATGAAGATGTATTACAGAGTGCTCTGTTTTGTTCCTCAGATGTACATCACTTGCTCGGTGAAGGCCAAAGGGACACGGCTGGCCAAGCCGGTGCTCTCTCTGGGGCTCATGTGTCTGGCCTTCCTAACTGGGATTAATCGAGTGGTGGAGTATCGAAACCACTGGGCTGATGTCATCGCTGGCTTCATCATCGGAGGAGCCATTGCTGTCTTTATGGTGAGATCACACACACTGATAATAGAGATACAAATTCAGTTCGATTTTAAGTGCATTATTGTTGATTCATTTGATATTTACTTAATAGTATCAGGAAATTCTAATGTGCTTTTTGTCCATAATTATATTGTGAAGATGTTATATCTATAACTATATTATGTTCAGTTGTATGGATATAGATTATGTGCTATTCTTATGTGATATAATATATAATAGTATACCCTGCGGGCACAGGACATCAACATGATGTCATATTGATGTTGTACCCCAATGTTGTGGGGACATTGGATTTTGTTAGGATATGAAAATCGGTTTGACGTCAGAACCCAACATCAGGCTGGTGTCACTGTCTAACGTCCAACTTAAAATCAACCAAATATCAACGTCTAATCATGTTACATCTTGACATTGTGTCGACATCACCACTATGATATCTATCAGATTGGATTTTGATCACTTTTCAACGCAACCTAAACTTAACATCAATGTAATTTGACGTTGTTATTAGATGTCAAAATTACATTGTCCTTAGACGCTGGCTAGACTTCGAATTTTGATTACCTGACGTCATGTCCTAAATCTAACCTAATATTAACATCTTATGATGTTGTGTGCCTGCTGGGTAGTATAGTCTGCCTATACCAGTGGTTCCCAAAGTGGGGGTTGACTCGGGACACCCTTGGGGTTGTGTGCTGTTGCAATGTTTGTATTTTTACAACCACTTCCAAGGATAGAAGGGGTGGCAAGTCACTGGAATTATTGTTTTGGGGTCGCGGACTGAAAAGTTTTAGAACCACTGGCCAATACTATAGTATAACTATAAGCTTACCTTTTATTTAGTATATTTATTCCTGTGATGATGTTACTTATGAAACATTTGTTATTAGTAGTAGTGTTGGACAACGTTGTGCTGCTTAAAGAGAGTTCAAATATGTTTTAATTTTGTTGTTATTTTCCTCATCTCTCTATCTAGACTACAGATGTATCTAACCTTTTCTTTACCAGAACATTCATGAAGATTTAATTTTTGTGATTTATAAAATGCAAGTCAATGGCATTCGACATTTGGACAGTTTTAGAGAATTAAAAATAAATTAAATTGAATAAATTAAGTGTCGTCACGGTGGCGCAGTGGGTAGCATGATTGCCTCACAGCAAGAAGGTCACTGGTTCGCCATACACACTCATTCACACTCATAAACCACGGACAATTTAGCCCACCCAATTCACCTGTACCACATGTCTTTGGACTGTGGGGGAAACCGAAGCACCCAGAGGAAAACCACACTGACGCAGGGAGAACATGCAAACTCCACACAGAAATGCCAACTGACCCAGCCGAGTCTTGAACCAGCGACTTTCTTGCTGTGAGGCGACAGCATTACTGACTGCGCCACTGTGTCATCAGCTCTGGGTGAATTGAATAAGCTAATAGTGTGTGTGAATGACAGTGTATGGGTGTTTTCCAGTGTTGGGTTGATTTATAAAGGGACTAAGCTGAAAAGAAAATTAATTAATTAATTAATTAATTAATTAATTAATTAATTAATTAATTAATTAATTAATTAATTAATTAATTAATTAATTAATTAATTAATTGTATAAAATAAAAAACAAAACAAAAAATAACTAAATTAAAATTTGAATTACATTTAAAATTTAGTTAAATCAAAAATGTAATTTAATAAAAAATAAATTAAATCAAGCAGGTAAAACAATATTAATACCATGGTTCTTTAATTAATAATTAATTAATAACTTAATAATTAATACTAGCAATATGTTAAGGCCATAAACCTCCACAATTGGCTTGTGCTATAAACAGAACATTACTTAAAACATATTACCTTTAATACACAGCCTATTATAAAAGAAAGTCACTTTCATTTTTTTTTTCACACATCATTACTGATAAAAAGAGAACCTTACTAACTTTTACATAATGGATAAACTTATATAATATGGGTAATGTAAAATACAGAGCCAATGCTGTTCTGTTTTGCTGTTTTTATGCGTGTGATTAATAAAACATTGAGACTAAGTTGTATAAAGGTTATATAACATGATGTGCACAAAACTAAGTGCCTGTGAAGTCAAAATATGAATGTGACACTAAAATAACAACTGATTAAAATAATTTGTTGGGGGAACGATTAAAGTGAATGCTTCATTTCATTTTGCATTTCATCTGCTCTTATGTAACTTTGTATCAAGCTGAAATTGTCTCAGCAGTGCTGGAGTAGTGGGGATCAAAAAGTTTGAAAACACCTGATTTGGGTGAATTTTAAACAACAAACATTATTAAACTGAATAATTTAGTAGTGCTTTAGGAAAAATATGAGTTTCATTTCTTTTTAAATACCCCATAGACTTGAAAATGCCTTACTCTAAACAAATATTTAGCATTTTATAGTGAATTTAGAAGTCTCTGCAGCCCCTAGTCACGTTTAAGCCAAATTAATTTAGAAGATGCAGCAAACCACAGATGCAGACTTATTTGCATACCAACCACACACACTGCAAACTACTGTAATGGTAATTTTCTCAATTATCTGACAAACCCTACTGAATCCTTTGATACCATAATACTGGTGTGATTAGTCTTGGCTGGTTACTGGAAAATTCAATCACACCAGTGTGATTAGAACATTCAATATGTCATTTGATTTGGTGCTAAATTCAAATCTTACTTCTCACAACTTGTGGCACTGAGACAGAGAATCACACGTCCTCTTGTCAAAAATCAGTTCATCAGTGTTTTCAAACAAATTAAGTTTATTTAAGGCTTTAGACATCTGAATACAGCTAAGTACTTACAGAAACATTATAATTATGGTTATAAAACACACTACTGCTGGCTGGCTAAATTTATCCACATAAAATACAGACTGTTTAGATTACTAGAACTTTTATTGTTCTCACAGTTAAACAGCCACTTACTTTGATGTATTTCAGAAGTTGATCTTTACCATGTTGTAAAGCCAGAAGCTCTGATCTCTTTACTATCTCAGGGCTTCCTAAACTTTTCAGCTCGGACCCCCAAAATAACAATTCAGTCACTCGCGACCCCTGCTATTTTCTGAGGTGGTTATAAACATGCACACATTGCACTGATGCACAAACACCAATAGGAACAACATAGGCACACTTATTGACAACACAAAAAAGGGCAACAAACCATACGATTTTTGATAGTAATTATTAATTTGTTTAATTTAATATTAACCTCACTTAATGTGAATGATGAGCACAATATTTGCATCACAAGAATATTTTTAATTGTTTTAATTTTGGAAACCACCACTTAGAGAGCGCCCTCTATGTTCAGTCTTGGCCTTTATTTTTAATGTATGTGAGTGCCATAAAGGTGTCATAGTTTAGCATTGTGCCATATAATAAATCTGTTGCAACTAACACTATTAATCTAGTGTAATAAGCTCAGAGGTCACAAAAAATATTTGAAAGGCTGATGACTTTTTTATTTGCATGTTGTTATTTTATGTAACTAAAAAATACTAAGTTTAATAACATACAGCATATAAAATTTTTGGAAATCACTAAATGACCCCCTGAGCTAAATCTGGAACTTATCTAACAAAATAACCTATGACAACGGTCCAAAAACTAGACCAACTAAATTTATATGTTATAGAAAAATATTAAATACAATTTTTAAAAGGAGAAAAATCAAAATCAAGAGAAGCAAAAAAAAAAAATAGTTGTACAAAATTTAGTTCATGAATTTAAATGTATTATTTTCCTGTTATTTAATTATTTAATTATTATCAATAAATATATCTGTTTAATATATCTTTTTTTTTTTTTTGTTTAAATGCACCAAAATACATTGCCTACATTCACTGAGAAATGGACAAAAATATTCATTTTCAAAATGGGGTGTACTCAATGATGTTGAGCACTGTATTTGACAATCAGAAAATCAGATATTTCACATATAATTAGGATGATTGTCAATTTTTACAGAAAAGAATATAAAAAACAAAATGTGCTTGAATCATCAGGGCTGTGTTATGTGATAAAACCGACTTGTCACTATGGAAATTTTAAATAAATGCATTTACAAAAAAAAAAGAAAAAAAAACTCACAAAGTATTTAAAGTATAACATACATGTAACATGTACAGTTGAAATCAGAATTATTAAACCCCCTTTAAATTTAGTTTTTTTTTTAAACATCTCCCAAATTATGTTCAACAGAGAGAGGAAATTTTTACAGTATGTGTGATAATATGTTTTTCTTCTGCAGAAAGTCTTATTTGTTTTATTTTGCCTAGAATAAAAACAGTTTTTAATTAAAAAAAAAAACATTTAAAGTCAAAAATATTAGCCCCTTTAAGCAATATTTTTTCAATAGTCTACAAAACAAACCACTGTTATACAATAACTTGCCTAATTACCCTAACCTGCCTAATTAACCTTATTAACCTAGTTAATTTTTTAAATGTCACTTTAAGCTGTATAGAAATGTCTTGAAAAATATCTAGTCAAACATTATTTACTGCCATTATGGCAAATATAAAATAAATCAGTTATGAGAGATGAGTTATTAAAACTATTATGTTTAGAAATGTGTTAAACAATCTTCTCTCCGTTTAAACAGAAATTGGGGAAAAAATAAACAGGGGGCTAATAATTTAGGGGGTTTAATAATTCTGACTTCAACAGTACATGTTAACATATAGTAAAAAAAAGGGTTAACCGGCAGCTGAAACTTACAGTTTTCACTGACTTTGTAAGCTGAAGAGTCAATGAAACTCTCTGACATCATGTTGCAAGAGAGATTGGTTATTCCAAATCTTTGATTTAAAGTCTATTGAATACTCAGAATGTCACTTTCTCATTCAAATCCCCTAAAATGTCTGTTTTTTACAAAAAAAATTAAAAAAAATAGACGAGAGCATAAAGTGGACAGTTACAATGGTCAATCAGCTGCAGCAGGAATTGCTCACTAGTTCAGCTCTGAACAGAGTAAGGATCTC